GAACCTAACGATTTCCAAATAAATCCCTAGACTTTTACATACAAATAGGTAAGACCATACATTAGAAAAAAATGACAACATTCCCCCTCATGATGGGCAAAAGATATCCACTAAACATAACCTAGATAAATCTAATGAGCTAAGTCCTTTGGTAAGGCAATCAACCACTTGCTCTCCAGTGGCTACATGACTTAGCTCCAATAGTTTTCTATTCAAATTTTACTTGACGAAGAACCTATCAATCTCCAAATGTTTGGTTCTATCTTTTCTATTCAAATTTTACTTGATGAAGAACCTATCAATCTCCAAATGTCTGGTTCTATCATGTTGCACCAAGTCCTTGGCAATGTTGATCGTTGACTTATTGTCGCACCATAACTTCATTTGAGCTCCTTGCTCCACCTTGAGCTTTACCAACAAGGCTCTCAGCAACTCCTATGGAGATGTCCCTATTCTCCGCCTCGGCTGTTGACCTTGCTACTACTTAATGTATTTTGCTCTTCCAAGCCTACAAACATGTGGTATCCAAACGTTGACCTCTTGTCATCCATACAACTCACCCAATCAAAGTCACAATAGCCCTTAATACTAACATATCAATTATTCCCGAAGATCAACCCCTTCACTGATGCACTCTCCAGATACCTCAAAATCTGATACACTGCATCCATGTGACCTTCTTCAAATCATGCATGTAGCGACTCACCACACTAACTGCAAATGATATGTCAGGATGAGTGTGACTCAGATAGATGAGATGACCCAGCAACCTCTAGTACCTCTCGCAATCAACTAACTCTCTTGCCTCTACGCTCAACTTTTCCTTCTAATCAATTGGTGAAATTGCAGGCTTGCATCCCCAGATACATGCCTCTGCGAGCAAGTCCAGCACATATTTCCTCTGAGATAGAACAATCTCCTCTGCTCCATGAGCCACCTCAATCCCAAGTATCTAATATGTCTCAAGTCCTTCACCTCAAACTATTTGCCCAAACTTGTCTTCAGCTGAGCAATCTCTCGCTTATAATCCTCAGTGGCAATCAAATCATCCACATACACAGCAAGAAAAGAAATGTGACCACTATGCGTCGAAATAATATTGAGAAGTCGGCATTAATCTACTGATAGTCCATCTCTGTCGTTGTTTTCCTAAACCTGTGAAACCAAGCTCAATTAGATTATTTCAAACCGTACAGTGGCTTTCTCAATCTACATTCCTTGCCCACTGTTTAGTTCGTGTCGAAGCCTGGGGTATTTCCATGTACACTTCTTCTAGGAGATCCCGATGAAGAAATGCATTATTCACATCCAGTAGGTGTAACCTCCATCCATCATTTACAGTGAGAGAGACAAGTGTCCTAATTGTGTTTATCTATGTCACTGGTGCAAATGTCTCATCATAATCGATGTCATACATCTGACTATACCATTTAACCATCAACTGTGTTATCAATCTTTCCTTCTAAGGTCTGCTTTACTATGAAGATTCATTTGCACATAACTATATTTCTCACTACTGCTTGCAACGCGAGCTCCCATGTTATGTTCTTATCAAGAGAACCAAGTTCCTCCAGTATTGCAGTCTTCTACTTTGAATCCTCCTTAAATACATGCCAACACTTGGGTATAGAAACAGTGTCCAAAGATGCAATGAATATTCTATGTAAAGGTGATATGTTAGAGTATGAGACAAATTGGATAATTTCATTTGAGAAACCAAAATAATCAAGAGAATAACAATCAAGAGAATGGCTCGCATTGTTGTCAGAGATCCTCCTTAAATTCATGGGAGTGGTTGAAGAAAAGAGAAGAATCATATAACCTATGCAATCAAATTTCAAGGTGGATGGTGTAGATGTCTCAGAAGTCAGGGTAGACCGTGGCAAGATACTTGTTGGCACGAGTGGCACGGCAGACACCTCTCTCTCATTCTTTCTTTTCCTCCTTATATACACCCTCAGCTCCCTTAAGCTTAAGTCCCACCACCTTCAGGCTCATTTCCTCATTTTTCGACTTTTCCTCAGTCGATGCTTGTCACATAATGGGACAAGGCATCGTTCCCATTTGTACCAATCTCTCACCATCACTACTTTTCACTCTCGCCTCATGCCTTCAGCATCTGATGAGTCACCAAAGGATGAGATGTAGCATGGTTTAAATTCTCTAAAAGTCACATCCATACTCACAAATAATCTCTTCTCTATTGGGCTCCAACAAACATACCACTTCTGAGTGGCAGAATATCTCACGAAAATACACTTCACAGCTCTGGAATTCAGCTTCTCTATTGATTGTTTGTTATCCTTCACAATACACAACAAAATACCTTCAATGGAAATATCTCACTATTATCTCCTTTCAATAAGTCACAAAGAAATCGTCACTCCAACACACTTGAGGGCATTCTATTGATAATTGGACGGCTATCAAAATAGTTTGCCCCCACAAGTGTTCTGGGACATTCATCGAGATCATCATGCCTCTGGTTAGATTTAAAAGGTGTTTATTCTTCCTTTCTGCTACTCCATTTTGTGTCGGTGTGTATAGACAAATGGTTTGATGGTGTATATCTAAGGCTGATAAGTACTACTCAAACGTCTTGTTGTTATATTATGTCTCATTATCATATCTCAATTCATTCACTACTACACCGTGTTGTCTGAATCGCCCTGTGAAAATCTTTAAAGTAGGCAAACAAACTATTTTGTTTCTCATCAAATATAACTAAGAAATAAGAGAAAAATAATCAATGAAAGTCACAAAATATCAAGATCTTCTTACATCTGAGTGCACCAAATCAAAAACACAAGAAGTACTTTTACCAGAACTAACATAAGAGCTCCTGGAGTGCTTACCAAACTGACAAGCATCACACATAAGTTTCTATTTATTTGTCTTTTCATATAAAGACGGATCATAACGATTCAATATACTAAACGAAAATTGTCTCATGCGAATGTGATGTAGCAGCAACACGTCTTACACACTCCTCACAGATCCTCCTACTCCAGCACTCTATCATGGATGTCAATGTTGAGTTCATCCCCTCTCTATCCAAGTATCAGAGTCAACTATGCCACATGTCAATCCCAAGTTTCTGGTCAGTCCCCTTCTCCTGAAATATCACCTTAGAAATATCAAATAAAACAACACATTTTAGTTGGAGTATAATGACACTAAAGAATAAAAGATTCACAGCATACAAAACATTGAACATAATCATAGAATTGGTGCACCTCGCCGTACCCTTACCAACTACATGTTGTATTGTACCATCAGCAGTATAAATGTTCTCTGGAACTATTATGTGAGTATATGAAAAAAACTCACTAACAGCACTTGTCACATGTCGAGATACACCAGAATCTACTATCCACTCTAGTGATCGTGTGGTAGATATAGAAGCAAGAATATGTGCATCACGAGTACCTTTGACTGAGTGAGCATAAGTAGCAATATTCCCCTTGGATGATGAGATGAATGCATCCTTAGTCACAGCACCTGCCACTCTCTGCTTCCTCTTCAACATCTCTAGAAATTGTATAGTCCTCATCTGTGCAAAGAGTTCCTCTTTCTTGCAACCCAGATCACCACAGTCTGACATAGATGAGAAGTAATCAATATCTTGTCACAGCTGCTAGCTCTATGGAGTACTCCAGAACCCTGTACAGCTGCCTCTGTCACGCTGAATCAGGAATACCCTCATGTGGTTCTCAGTCTCAGCATAGGACATCTTCAGCTTTGCCCAGATGTCATTTATTTTTTAAATGTAATCCACTGATGTGGCAATCGATAGAACCATCGAGTTGAGTAGTCAGGTGCAAATCAATGTATGTGTGGTCCTCCACTCATCAACCTCAGCACTGTCACTTCTAGTCACTTCCCTATTAGAGCAACCTCAATCTGACACGATCATCTCAGAAAAGTGGTCAGTCCATTGAGCTTCAGATCTACAGAAAGAAGATCTAGCTTCACCTACGTCTAAGCACGTGCTGAGGTTGTGGCTCCCGTCGAGACCCTAGCTCCTTGTATGAGCCCCACCTAGACCTTTAGAACCTAAGAATCTTTCCCATAAGCTCCAACCATATCCTCTCGCATTATCTCTGCCTCCTGACATCCTCAATTAACAGAATCTAGGTTAAGATCACATAGATCCCACAAGACTTCCTTTTTTTTCTTGACCTGAACATGATCTATCTCATCATCAAGATCAAAATCAACTGAATTATTCTTCGCTTTGTATTAGTTTGTATGCCCGATATGAACTCCAAGTTTATGTTCCACGCGAAGTCCTGGTTCCATCCTTTATACGACAAGAGCAACTAAAACCTTAACCAATTTCACTGCCTTGACGCACGCGATCCGGTCCGCTGAAGTCCTCGTCGTTCTTCCATGTGGGTGATAGCCTCACCTACTTTCTCTGCGAGCGCAGAACGAGAACACAGCATATACAGGCCACCGAAATCTCCAATGCCTCTTTCTTCCCTGCACTGAAATCGTTTGTGCAATCCAAACTGATGCTAGAAACCCTTGACGCCTCAGCGCCTCTTTCTTACTTGCCTTATAATCGCAGCTAGAGGTCGTTGAGAAGACAGCGACAGAACTGCTGTCGCAAAGACCACCAAAATCCTTTGCCTTTCTCCTGTTAGGGTATAGCTCTAATACCAAAAAAGACATAATTGCTCTAAACACTTGCCCTATTCATTAATGGCTTGGACTTATATAGAGTCTTACAATATTTACAAATAAATCCCTACACTTCTTCTATTTACAAATAGGTAGGACCCTACATTAGATACAAATCTCAATAATTAATTATTAATAGATGAAAGCATTAATAACACCACATAAACAAGTAAAAAAAAGGGTAAAAGGGTGGTATAAGATTTTCAAATATATAACCAAACTAAAGATCATAATAATACAAAAAAGAATAACAAGTTTAACAAAATTTAAAAAGACATAGAATAACATCTTAAAGATAATTATTAGTTACTTGCCAAACTCTTCTGCAATTTCATTCCAATCAAGTAAAACCTCCTCTCTATAACCCCTCAACCAATTACAAAGTGTCTTTGTAAATCCATTTTGATTCTTGGGCTTTCTGCACAGGATTGGATACTCCTTTCCCTCTGGTATGTATTGATAATACAACCTAATTCAAGAGAATGAGTTAGAAGGAATAAATAATCTAAGCCTATAGATATGAGTGGAGTCGAGCAAAGTATCATAATGCTGAAATTCATTTACTTATTTTCTTATCAATCTTAGTTGAGCAACAAAAGAGTATATCATTATATCCAAGTTTGTTATAGTTAAATTCTGATCAAACCTAATAAAACATATATGATAATTAATACAAACGTAAATAAGCATTCATAAAAATTTACACAATTCAATTAGCATGCTTTTTCTAATATTTTGACATTGAGATAAAAATAGATAAAACAAAAAAAAAATGATATATATAATGGTTGATTATATGATTTCCATCACATTTATATCTTTATCAATGCACTTTACTTAAAATGCGTAATTAAAACACAAATTTAATAAAAGAACTAAGATAAACTAATACACAAAGAAACAAATAAACAAATTATTTGCCAAATGCTGAATGAACATATGTTTGTAAACAAAATAAAACACTAACCTGATAATGTTCAAATTTATTCGAATTGTTAAGTGCGACTTGTTAATCAAATACATGATCATTTATAGCATTAACAAGCTTCGACATGAGTTACTACATAACAACAGTCAAAAAACTGCTAAAACAAACAAAACTACGTCCGTTACAACAGCAGCAACTTCAGACCCTTATCCAGCACAAATGGATAATACAGGAGAGCAGAATCCCAACTACGTCTGTGCAAATATTCCATCTGCTCTTTATATCTCTAATGCATAAGTATGTGTGATGTTTTGTATGTATTCTCTGGTTTTTGCTTCCTTAGAAAATGAAGATATGCATGTATTAATCTCACTGTCTGCCTTTAATTTTCTTCCTTTACTCTATTCCTACCTGCTTGAAAAAGTCTACATGATATCACAGCCACAACCAAGCAGCAAGCTCTAATTCTTTTAGCAATCGCATCCTATCAAACATCCAACCATAAAGCTTTCTCGCCGATAGCAGACTCAACACCAACCATGGGAGAGACTCGCATTCCATTACAGTTGAAATTCTTGATGTCCAACATCAAGAACATCATCTCTACACAATTCACAACAGAAAAAATCGCCTAGCATAGTGTTCAAAACCCTCTTTTTTTTTTTTAACAGATGAAATCAAAGTATGCTAGGATAACAACTACTGTTTGGCAAGAAAACCCATCCATCATCCTGATGGCTCAATTACACCCAACCTCTCCTATGCTACCAAGACACTTGTAAACCAAAATCTAATTGTACCGCTCTTGTCAACCATATTTCAATCCTTACTTTCTTAACCTTCTCCAATCCAGCAACTGTTGATGCGGCATAGAGCCCAAAACAAACTACATCATCTGTCAATAAAAGATAAAATAATGACTCAATATCTAACAAAAACCAAAGCAAAACGTGATGCCATTAACACAGTTTGCACTCCACTTGGCCCTGAAGGCATTATTCTCTACACTCTAAATGACCTACCACCAAGTTATCAGACCATCAAGACTGCCATCCACACACAACTCCAACCAATTAGCCTGGATGACCTTTACTCCCTACTGTGCTCCAAGAAAACAAACTTAACAGCTGAAGTGACTCTCCAACAGCAGCAATCAACTCAAAATCCTCAATTTGCCATTCAGTTCCTACAGATAGAGGTCGTGATTGTTACAATCACTTCACTTATGGCAGGGTCACACCTAAGCAATCCTTGCACAAACTCGTCTCAGCCAAGAGGTTCCAAATCAAATAACCCTATGATTCAATGTCAAATCTGTAACAAAATGGGTCATCCCTGCAACTAAGTGTCGATACTGTACTGGTCTTAAGTACAACTGTAGGCGCTTAAAAGGGGAAAAGAGTTTAATGTTTGGGGTCATCCACGAAAAAATGAGTACTAGACTCATTTACAACATCCCAACTAACTGCCGACATTGACAATATATCCAACCCAAAAAATACACTGGTTCTCTACAAGTCATAGTGCAAAATGGTCAATAGCTACCCACTGCTAATATCATTGACGGCCTCCCTAACCACTCTCATAAGTTTCGTCTCTGTCAAATTCAACTCATTTATCTCGCAATCTCATTAAATACACAAACTAAATCTCAATAATCATTGCCCCGTCACTTTTGATTCTAATGGTTTCAGCATTATCAATCATAACTTGCACCAGCCACTTCCATTAGGCCTACACCATAATGAACTGTGCGCTATCTAGTGCAATTCTTGTATAAAATAGCTTCCCATTTGCAACACCTTCCTAACTCATCTCACAATCCAAGTGGCATAGCAGCTTAAGAGATCCCCACAAATTAGTTGTCCTCACTCTTGCCAAATCCCGTCCAGATATAAGTACCCTAAGGAACAGCTTTAAATGTCAATATTGTAATTCTACAGAAATTCAAAAAACTTTCATTTATGTTTCTATTAACCCTCAACTTATATCCTTTACTTATTATCCACTCTGATGTATTGATTCTCTATCCCCCCATTTCCAAATAAGGCAACAAATATTATGTTTCATGCATAGATAACTATTCACTTTTCTATTGGGTGCTTCCGATGCAAAATAAATCTGATATAAAATTTATATTCATAAACTGCAAAAACATGGATGAGCATCAACTAAATAAATATTATAAAGATCCTTTGATCTGATGGCAACAAGAAATATACTAAGCAAACCCTACAAAACTTTCTCACTTAATGTGGAATCTCTATAAGTGAGTTGCCTATAAAACCCTGAACAAAATGGAGTTTATCTAACGAAAGCATTGAATCTAACGGAAGCATTGACACATTATAGCAACCACTCGCATCCTACTTCTTGAAGGTAGACATCCACACTTTCTATAAGCAGACACATTGCTAACTGCAATCTACCTCGTTAACAAGTTACCATCACCAACAACCGACAATTCATCCCCATACGAGCTACTCTAGCTACTCTATAATTACCAACCGAACTATAATCATCTCAAAACATTTGAATGTGCTTGTAATCCTTAGCTTTGCTGCCACTACAAAAACAAATTATCCCCAATCTCAACTCGATGTATTTTTCTTGGTTATCATCCTAATAATAAAGACTATAAATGCTACCATGCCTCTACTACCAAACTATTTATCTCCTGACATGCCATTTTTTATGAGGATGTTTTTCATATAAAACTCTAACTCAACAAACTAGTAACATACCCTTGCACACATACCTCCCCATACCCTTGCTACTCTATCCACCCACTCACCACTCAAATCTGGCAACACATTGTTCAATCCACCTCTTTCCCAAACTTCATCTACCATAACCAATCTTCCTTCTCATATTTCCATTAAATATCAACCAACTCCCTTCCCACTTCCTCTCATTTCATCTCCTCCAATATATACTCGTGTCTACCCACCTTCCCGCCCCATCATCCGAACCCCATTCTAAAACTCCAGCTACAATCTCACTGCAACACACCTAGGCATCCTATGCTTACACATTCACAAAAAGAAACTCCAAAACTAAAGAAAATTCTTTGATCTACACTACATTACCGTACCATCACTGGAGCCTACCTGCTACCCCACTGCAGTCAAATTCAAATGCTAGCACACAGCCATGTCTGAGAAATTTTAAGCTCTTCAAGTTCAAGGAACCTGGACTCTAGTTAAACTACACCTCACCAAAATATATTTGGTTAAAAATGGACATATAAAACAAAATTAAATCATGCTGGTTCCATCAGTTGGTATAAGGCAAGCCTTGTAGCTCAAAAATTCAAATAATAATGAGGCCTTGATTACACCTGCCAAAATGCCCAAAACTCGCATCATGCTGAAGGTTGCTCTTTACAACACATGGCTTATCACTCAAATTGATGCCTCTAATGTCATTCTTCATAGCAAATTACATGACACTATCTACATGCAGCAACAAAAGGGCTTCATTGATCCAAAGTATCCTCACTATGATTGTCATCTTCATAAAGCACTCTATAAACTCAAACAAGCACCAAGAGAATCGTATGCCACTTTCTTACAACTTCTACATAATGTTGGCTTTCATTTAAGTTCAGCTGACCCCTCACCAATGCTCTATGATCAAGACCACATTTACATCTTTATTATAATATATGTGAAAAACATTTTAAGCACATATTATATTAATTCATTCATCACCAAACTTACATCCACTCCAGCAAACACTACATGTGAGAAATCTGGGTGAAACCCAGCACTTCCTTGGCATCCAAATAAATCACACACCAAGGTCTTCATCTGAATGAATCCCTATATGCCCTTAACATTCTCATATGAGTTGGAATGCTCTCCCGCAAATCTGTCCAAAATCGCACAACCAAAAAAATACCATCCATCACCTCTTCGGATCCATTGTCTACTTCAAGAATTCCATGTGCCTATTCAATAGCCTACTCTACTTTACTTCAACAATGTGGTTGTTCAAGCACTTTCAAACAATCATGCTTATACCAAACACATCTAAATTGACAACCACTTCATTTATGAGTGCATTAAAGCTAGAGCCATATCTGTTAAGCATGTCTTCTCTCAATATCAATCACCGGCATATTTAAGAAATCATTACCTGCCACCATAGTTCGCTATTTGTCTTCAAATTTGAAGCTTCAACTGTGAACCATCAAATTTCCAGGAATTAACAAAATTATAAAACCTACAACAGCAAATAGAGCTACGAACATTACAACAGAAGCCACTCTGGACACATCATCCAGCGCAAATGGATAATACATAACAGCAAAATCCCGACAACCTCTTCGGAAATATTCTCACTGTAAACATGTCTTAACCTGACTGTCTTCGTTTCATCTCCTTCCTTTACTCTGTGCCTAGAGTCTACACTCCTTAGTAGTTATATTGTATTTATTTCACCAAATTGATGTCAAAAATTCAAACTTGACAAAATAAACCAAGGCATGAAGTAATAGGTGTACAATTCGTAAAATATGAGTACCAAATTTTCGAAAAGGTAAGAAAACCAATTTTGTATAATAAGCCACATTTATAATCTGTAAATTTTGAAACTAATGCGCCGACAAATTAGAGCACACCAATTTCCCCAAGTCTCGGGCGGAGCTGATATCTTCGGCGGCATCCGCGCCCACATTTCTTCTTGCAGCCTCCTTCGAAGGCAGTCTGTGTCGCTCATGAAGGATTCTGTGTATGAGTTTTCACGTAGAATGTGTTCGGTGAGTTCGGGATCGGAAGTATTTGACATCCAGTGGTAGGGATCGTGCCAGGTTCGGCCATGAGCAGAAGCGGTAAAAGGGATCTTTTTGGGAATGGGAGGTTCGAAGGGAGGGAGAGGGGGGAGTTTTTGACGCTTGCAGGTGGAGTAGGGAGAAGAAAGAAGAATGAGGCGGCGGCGGTGAGCCCGTCGAAGCATCGAACCGCCGGGAGGGCCGATAAACCGGTTTAAGATGTTTTATGAACTTAGAAACTTCGGGACTGTTCATTAAGGGGCCCTTTGGGACAGCTTAAATGTGCGGCACCCTAGCGTTTGAAAATCACGTTTGCCTTGCATTTTTTAAAACAGCTTGTTTAAGTTATATTATATGAGGATCGCGGGTATATCCCCGTGATCCACGTTTGGGCACCATATTTTCCTTCGCTAGCCTCCTAAGCCCGCAGCCGACCCTCCTTCGAACATTTGGCGTCGATCTCGCCTCCGTCGCTCCTCCGCAGGTAACAAAATGCTTTCCTCGCTCGGCTCCTCCCTTCTTTCCCCTATTTCGCCGAGAGATCTAAGATTTTGGCAAGAAATTACACTCGATCCATCTGTTTGGAAGTATTGAGGTGGCTAAAACCTAGATCTATTCTGAATGTGCAAGTACCGCTGGTAAAAATATAGATCCACTGTTTCTGTGATATGTTTGAAGCATCAAGGCAGTTCCCTTCATTCCTCATCCCAACCTTTCGTCGAACAGTGTATATTCGCATTAAACGAATTTTGTTTTTTTCGTTTTATGTTCATATGGTTTCCATGCTATTCAAAGTTACTGATTCTTTGAGGTTATTTCTTGAGGGTAGATTATATTGATGCAATGTTTTGTTTCCTTCCATTTGATTCTTTGAGGGTATTTGTTGAGGCTAGTTTGAAAAAAAAGCTATAGATACATTGGATTTTGTTTATCATTTTAGAGAAAATAACTTTTAATATCGTAATTTGTTTATTTCTGATGCAGAGATATCGTTAAGCAATAGTTTAGTGGTTAGATTTGTAAAAAGATAAGAATTTGGCCATAATCATGTGAATGCCCCATGATGTCACAAAATTTTACAATATATGTATACTCTCCATGTGTGTTGTCTAACATTTGATTTGACTTATGATACTTTTATTTTATACAATTATATAAAGCCAATCATTTACTATGCATATCGAATGAAGGCTGAAAATGAAATTAAAAAAGGTTGTAGTATCCCACTTTAAAATTTCCTCGGTCATCAAAAAAGAAGAAGTTGGCTTAACAACGAATCGTGCATCAATCATTGATGTGTTAGAGAGGGACTATGTAGGCCTTTATGGGTTTCAACTTACTTAATTTATTTTTCTTAGCATAATTAAAGAAAGCGAGAATAGTTGTACTTGAACATGAGGCAATGATAGAGTTCAAAGCATGCAACTATCAAAAGGCTGCAGATTGATTAAAATTAGAGAAAGAGAAAGAAGCATTAATCAACTCAATTGGAGGGTTATAAGAGAATCAAATCCATTTCAATCTTTGCAATCTTTTTTTCTTGCAAATTTATTTTTTATTTCTTACATGTTAGCTGCCAATTATCATAATTTCAATCCAATTTGCAAGCAATAGATTGTTGATAGCCGGTAATATCTACTAACTTTGGTGATTGATTGTTGGTAAATGTATTAAAGGCTAATTTTGATTATCTCTGATATTAATATCGATTGATGTCACAATAGAAGCATGCAGGTAGATAGTGATGCCAAATTCACCTTCTGTTGAATCTTGATTTGTCAAATTTACCTAATTGAAGTTTGGGGCAGCTGCAGCTTATCCAGCTTCTGCTGATAAGCAGCTTTTCCTGATAATCTGTTGATGAGCCGCTTATCCGGATAAGCTGTATGACTGTTTGGTTGACGCTTATGGAAAACAACTGATTCTGAAAAATTGACCATTTTGCCCCTATTCTGAATAAGTTGTTTAGATGTTTGGTTAGTGTGTTTTGTAAACAGCTTATTTATAATTTTTTTTAATTAAATGAATAATCTGTGCAGCA